GAAGATAGTGTTAGCCTAGCTGTTAGAGTAGTTTTAGGTTAAATCGCATATTATTCTATGCCTTTGGGGCACGCCATTTTGTCACAAAATTTAATATTGCTTTATTCACGTACATACTTTTGCTACACCATTATAGTCCTGCACTTTAACTCCCGGGTAACAATCGTCGACATAGTTGATGGAATCGTTCCAGCTTTAGATGTTTTAAGTAATAGATGGATGTTAGGGATTTGTTTGTGACCAGAGAGTCATCTTTCTGCAGAGTGTGATCGTCGCTATTATGTGTTCTGCCCTTGTATTTTTGTTATGATATGGAGTCTCCTTGTACCCACTGGACAACTTTAATTCCTTTTATAGTTTGCTTTCCCCTTTTGTCAATCAGGGTTTCAGGAAGGTTGATCCGGATCGCTGGGAATTTGCAAACGAGGGATTTCTTAGAGGCCACAAACACCTGTTGAAGAGTATAAGCAGGCGAAAACCCTCTCAGGTGCAGGGTCATCAGCAAACCACCTCCCAAGTGCAAAATGCATCTGTTGGATCTTGTGTTGAAGTTGGGAAGTTCGGAATAGAGGATGAGGTGGAAAGGCTCAAAAGAGATAAGGATGTTCTTATGCAGGAGCTGGTTAAGTTGAAACAGCAGCAGCAGGCGACGGATCACCAAATGCAGACTGTTGGGCAGCGTGTCCAAATAATGGAGAAAAGGCAACAGCAAATGATGTCATTCCTTGCCAAGGCCATGCAGAGCCCTGGCTTTGTAGCCCAACTGGTTCATCAACAGAATGGCAATAACAGGCGTATTACTGGAATGAATAAGAAAAGGAGACTTCCTGACCAGGATGAAGAAAATGTTGCAGGCAATCCTGTTAATATGTTGCGAGATGGACGGATTGTCAGATATCAACCTTCAATGAATGAGGCAGCAAAAGCATTGCTGCGGCAGATTCTGAAAATAAATACACCTGGGAGGCTGGACAACAGATTTAAGAATACAAATGGTCTTTTGACGGATAATCCCCTCTCTCCCAAGAATACACTAAGTGGTGATACGTCCAGTCGTATTTCTGGGGTTACCCTCTCTGAAGTATTGTCAATGTCTTCACAGTCTCATATAATGTCTGATTCAGGATTTCCATTCAACTCTTGTTCATCTGTCATGTCTGAGAGCCAATCTTCAACTACTGTGGTTCCTGGGGAGGCCAAAGTTCCTAAGTTACCTGAAACGGATGCTCTGAACTCTCTCACAGACCATGATTTGCCTGAATTTTCTCAAGTACAAAGGATCAATAGACAGGAAACTTTTGGAATAACTGGTCTTAAGAGGTCTGAGACTGGAAATGTGCCATATATTGACAACACGCAAGCCATTTTGGATGGTGTAACACCAGTTGCCCCTGATGGATTTTCGGCAGACACCCATGTCGATGTCCTGCTAGATGATGTGCCTAAACTTCCAGCGATTAATGATATTTTCTGGGACCAGATTCTTTCTGCAAGCCCTCTTAGTGGGGATACAGATGAAATTGGTATGGAAGATGGCTTAGAAAAGGAAGAGGATTTTCTAGGAGTTCAGGAGAATGATTTGGATAAACTAAACCATATGTGTCATCTTACTGAACAGATGGGGCTTCTTTCATCAGCGGCCCAGATTTGATGATTTCATGGATTTTATTTGAGCACTGCAACGACAGAGGTAAAATCTCCATCCTCCTTTATGAGCTATTGCTATCTCATCAGATTAGAGATCTTGCAAAACTTTTGCTATTTGGGTGGTTTTTCCTCATTTCAATTGCCATACAAATTGGGCTCTTATGGATCAAAGATTTCACCATCTATAATGTTTGACCTGTGCATGTATGTGTTACTTAGCAAAAGGAATTTCACTTCGATGTATGTGTTACTTAGCAAAAGGAATTCACTTCAATGTACACGTGTAAGTGGTTATGTAACTCGCTGACACCGTGTTGATATCTTGAAAATCTGTTCTTGATATAATTCTTGTTTCATCGTGGGGTCTGAAATAATTCGTTGATCATATGCCTCGGTGTACTGCATTAAACGGGTGTATCACAAACATTGTGAGGTTGGGTCAGGTGTCAATATTATATTCTCTTTTCTTCCTTGCCTTCTATTCCAATGTTTATTGTTGCTAGTACGTTTACTCACTGCATCAGTGTGATACTGCATTGAACACAATACTGAAGGTGTGAATTTTAGAGGGTGTAGAGCATTGAACTTTCCCCCATGTGGTAATATTTTTTTGTCAGGTGGACGCTCTGAACTGGTGGGCGTTAACAAGCTTGTTATGAAGGACTGATCTTCACTACTAATGATGTTCTGAGTAGTGAAAAAGGGACCCCCAAAAGAAAAAAGGGGTGTGTCTGATCTTGTTTTAGTTTTGATGCATATGTATTTTGACTTTGTATGGATATTTATCCAGAATACTAAAATGTTGTTTACTTGTTAAGAAAGTAAAAAGGGCACGGTAGAAAGTTGTTGCATAAGATCTGTTTGTAAATTTTGCTGTTTACATAAGCAACGACAATAAGGATTTTGTTGAAGATGCAAGCGTGATGTATGGATGGCTTGCTTTTTGTACAAAGATATTGAATGGTATTTGTCTGCTATCGTGAGGTTTGTATTCTATGCAGAGGTTTCTTATAGCTGCTTCTCCCACTAAATAGATGATCCTCTTTCCCAGCATATTATGAAAATTTCCCCCTTTCTATGTTACTTATTGTTGTGCTGATGCTGATAACTCTCTAAATGGCCTTAGCGTTTGTGGTGGTTTAGAGTTGACAGTATCTGTTTTGGTTTCTTTGTACTCGCTACCTACAATTGTACAAAAAACAGAGAAGCTGCTTCTTCTGAGTGGGTGAAAATACGCCTTTACGATCCAATCAACTTTTCTTAGCGCTTGGAATCGGAGAAATTCATCTTTAGATTAAGCAATTTATAGTTAGACTGGTCCCAAATTTATCCTGTTCATTTTTCATCCCTTTTTAGAAGCCAAAAAATGGTCTGTCGGATAGGGTAAAGCATGTTGGACTAATGTGGCACTGATCATGTCCTTCTAAGTTAGGAAATAGGGCTGTTAGATGTTTGAGGGCCGGGCCTACATGCCATGTTCAAATGAATGTAACTTGGAAACTCGCCCAGTTTTCAATAAGGCACGGTAAAGAAGCATCGAAAAAGAAATGGCACGCTTTTTTTAGCATTTTCCCAATTCAGATTTTGAGTTGAAAAGGCTCCTTTTCTGTCATGGCTGGACGAATACATAAAACTATTTGATAGAGACTAATATTTACTTTATTAATGACAACAGAATGCTTAATCAAATAATATCTTGATTAAAATGATTCAACAGTCTCACAAGATCACTTGATCAGAGTATACAATATTAGGCATAGATATTTGGTTACACCCGTTTTGGTCATTCCTTGTATTTTTGTTCAATTTCAACGTGTGCTTTTTCCCCCTTGCTAGTGCTTTTGGGGGTCGGTGTGGGGGTGGGGAGGAATTGGTCATATTAATAGAGCAATTGAGAACCCCATTTAGGAGTCTATTGAACATTACTGGAGATTCTCTATGAGAGGTCATCCGTTGAATATCCTTAAATGATGCTAAAATAGCCTGCTTGGCTTAGTTTGGGCTAAAACTGTTTTTTCAAAGTAAAGGTATTTGGCAAGTATTTCTAAAGAAAAAAAATGTTTTTAAGTAGAAGTAGAAGCAGTTTTTGAGAAGCAGAAAAAAAAAAAAATTCAAAAATATTTTTTTTACAGCACTTTTGAAAAAAATACAGGTAGAAACAGATTTTAAAAGTTTGGTCAAATATTAGTTGCTGTTCAAAAGTGCTTTTCAAATTAATTAGTCAAACATAAGTTGGTTTTCAACAAAAGTATTTTCTTAATAAGTACTTTTGAGAAAAACACTTTTGAAAATAAGTTGATTTTAGCTTGGCCAAACAGGCTATAAGTAGGATTTTTACTTAATATGTGCTTCTAAAATTAGGTTATCTTGAAAAGTGATTTACCAAATTTTGATTAATTAATTTAAAAAATACTTTGAACAACAATTAATGTTTGACTGAGCTTTAAAAAAGTGTTTCTAAGTGTATATTTTTTTCAAAAGTGGTTTTCAAAAAAGCACTTTTAAAAGAAGTTACTTTTATCTACTTCTCAAAACTATTTTTGCTTCTGTCCAAAAGTATTTTTTTTCCTTCTAAAAGTTTTGTCAAACACTTTAACTTTGCGAACAAAACACTTTTGGCAACAAAAAAAAAAAGTACTTTTGGCCAAACAAAAAAAAAACTTTGCCATACAAGCTATGAAAGTGTATTTTTTTTCAAAAATATTTTGCAAAAAAATGCTTTTAGGAAGAGCTGCTTTTTCTGCTTTTACTTTTATTCAAAAATACTTTTTTCCTTCTAAAATTTTTGGCTAAACATGTTAACTTTGAAAAAAAATACATTTGGCCCAAAATTACTTTTTGGAAGCTAATTTGAAAAGCTAATTACTTTTTAAATTAATTTAGTGCCTTAGGAACGGTACTTCTCCCTTCACTTCCAAAACCAAAGAGCTCTTCGGCGATTTGCTACTTCCGGCCAAATCCCTTCAATCTCAGGTCAGTTTCTCCTCTTTCTCTCTCATTTTTGGTCCATGGTGTCTCAAACACTGTATTTTGTCTTCTATTCTACTAAGGTAGTGAATCTCATCTGCTGCTTTATCTTATTCTCACACAAAAACAGCTTAATAAGCATGCACAAATTCAGCGGACATTGATATTATTTGCTACAGCCTACACAGCTACGCTACTGATTAGAAGTTTATGCTAGTGGAAAATACCCATCTGCATGATTCTTTTTGTTTTTAAATTACAGGTGATAACGTTCAGTTTGTACCCTATGTTATTGCAGAGTCAATATTACAGATTCAAACTTCATATATATATATATATATATATATATATATAAAAATACTGGTTTATTGACTATTGAGATTTTTTTAACTGAAAATCCTGAACAAGAGCCTCGTTCAGAAGATTACAATGTAATTATTTGCTTAGTTTCGTGCACTAATCCAAATATTTTTATGGTGTGAGTTGGTTAAAGCTTTGAATGATTTTAGAGTATATCAGCGTTAGTCCACTTCATTTGAATGTTAAGTGTTGCTAACAGTTGATTGCCATGTTAATTTGATATCAATCATATAATGTTTAACTAGTTGTGTTTCCTTGAATTCCTTCTTATACCGTGCGGATTCTTCTACTTTCTATATGTTCTGAATCTTGATTCTGCATACTACTATACGGATATTTGATTACACCAACATCGTTAATAGTTGATCAAACCCCAAAATATGTATTAACTTAACCAATAACCGACTTTTATCGGTTCAGGTTTAGCACATTTAGAAACCGATAACTGATAAGGCAAAACGATAAATGCAGATACTGAACCTAACCACCCGATAAGCACTCCTACTTATTAATTGTGGCTATCTATGTCAGTTGGTAAGCTTAATAGAAGCGAAAGGTAATGTGATTCTACTTTTGCACAACAAATGTGATTATTCCACTATATTCATGAAGGATATTCAGAGGAGATGGATGAATGGTTTCAACAGAACACCCCCTTCTTGTTCTTCTTACAGTTGTTGCATGTTAATTTGACGATGGGGAAACAGCAGTTCTGTCCAGATAGTTAACCTCATCTTTTGTAGTCTTGTTTATTTTCTACAGGTTCTTATTGGCGAATGTTGCTCTGATGTCTCCAAAGCTCAAGAAGCAGTGTCGTCGAACTTTAACTACTGATGTACTTAGCAACCTTCCTGAGAATGTAATTGATGCTATTCTTATGTGTTTGCCTTTTCAAGATACTGTGAGGACAAGCATCTTATCGAAGAAATGGAGATATATCTGGTGCAGGCTTCCGAAGTTGACGCTTGATGAAACACTTTGGAAATCTCAAAAGGATTTGAGATCCCTTAACATTTACTTTACAAAGATTATCTTCAATATTTTCACCTTTCATTCAGGACCTATTACAACGTTTACCCTCTGCATTCCTCATTTAGGAATGTGTAATAAGATTGACAACTTGATATATTTCCTTTTTAGGAATGGCGTTCAGCATCTTTTTCTTAGACTTCCGACCAAGGGTAAACCATACAAATTGCCTTCTTCATTTTTCACATGTTTGCATTTGAGGCATCTGACTCTCGAAGGTTGTTTAATACTTCCTCCACCCTCCTTCAAAGGTTTTGATAAGTTAACTAGCCTGGAATTACGTGGCGTAAAAATTTCTTCTGAGTTGCTTGAAAGTTTAATCTCTGGATGCCCGCTGCTTGATCATTTGGCGCTGAAAATCTCATATACTTTAAGAAGTGTCATTGAAATTAATGCTCCCAACCTGAAATCCTTTGACTTTGACGGCAATATAAGATCTATTTGCTTAAAAAGTATTCCCCTGCTGGAAAAATTATCACTTGCGCATTGGGGATGGTATGATGGGGCAAGTTAATTTTATATCATCAATTTCTTTGAGTCTTTTTCTGCTCTCGAGCATCTCCACTTGAGTAACATAATTACTCTCAAGGTAAATCTGCTTATTTGAATCTTTAATGCATTTTTATATATGGAACATCTTTTGGGCTCTGAGTCATCTTGTAATGTGGCATTTTCTTCCTAGTTCGTGGCTGCAGTAGCAGGTGAAGTACCGACTAGGCTTCCATTTCAGCTTAACCGGGTGAAACGTCTGTACCTCTTTGGTCATTGTCTGTGTGAATTATGTGAGGTCTCCTATGCTCTTTGCTTGATGAGAAGCATCCCGTATTTACAATATTTGGAAATCGAGGTTCTTAATCATTTCATTCTTTTCTTTCTCCTCCTTATTTATTGCTTTCTTATACCTCAGATTCTCAATAAATTCGGATATATGGTTTTTTTTTTTTTTTTTTTAAATCTTAGGTGGATAATGACGTATTTGTTGCTCCAGAATCTCATGAAGTTGAAGGTTTTTCAGATGTGACATTCAATCACCTCATGAAAATTAAGCTAGAAGGCGTTATAGGCAAAAATCCTCAGATGCAGCTTATCAAGCTTCTCTTAGCCAAGTCTCCAGTGCTAGTCAGAGTGAAAATTGAGTCCTGGCTATATGTAAATTCTGCAAGTTACTCATCATCAGAGAAAATGAAGAATCTGCAAGAGTCAAAATTACTCGCTGAGATATCAAAATTTCAGCGTGCATCACCTAAAGCACAAGTTATTGTCAAAAGTTTACTAGTATAAGATTACAGTCATGTTTGATCTTCACGAATCTTTAATTAAACCATGAACTTTGGCTAAATTGTTTTGGTTGTTGAAGTGAATAGATAGAAAAGAATGTTGATGTTGTAGTATATATCGCGGTGTTTTGCCTTGCCATACGTTAAGAGTTTTGTGATAGATTTGGCATTGCAGTGCCGCGCTGTGCAACTTTTGGTAGGGCGGGTGGGGCGGG